TACAGTAAATGCAGAATCACTTATTAAGCTAGAATAGTTGTCATGAAACCGTTAGACTGGATTACTACAAATGATAAAACAGCCAACGCTGTACCTTTTTAATAAGGTAAATCAGAAGCGGTCGGAATTTGATTCTGATTCTGTTTTTGGGATCTTTTTATGGGTGACTATGGTGGTCTAAACCAAAACAGTATAGTAATCTGCCTGATGTAAAAATGGTTATGCAGTATACAGCAGAGATACAGTTATATTAAATGTTTGGATGTAATCAGTAGGAAGCCCTAGACCTAGGTTTCGTTCTTGCAGGCAGTTGCCGGCAAAGTTTATCTGTAACCTTCAAGGAACTGTTATCACTTCAGAGATTTAAACCGGTCTCAACCACTGCTGCAGTTAGTGATGTTACCACTGAACTTTTCGGGCTGCAGTTCACCTCCTTCTAGACTGGGTTAAGTACATTGATTAGTTCCTGAAAAACAGCTGCCTTCATGTTATCCAGTCCTCAGTGATAATTAAATTCTCTTTAAGGTTGTGTAATGGGATCACCATTGTAGGAAACACCAGGAAATTGATTACTCTTCAGTGATCAATCAGTGCATACACCTATATTTTTAAATGGATTGTTAAACTTGGGCACTGTAGTAAAATGTAATTTCATAGAAAATTTATTTATTTAACATGCAGTGACACTCATAATCATTTCGATAACTGATTTTTAGTTTTCTATCGCCTAATATCTTTTGTTTTCAGTCGTTGTAAAGTTTTCCATATCTTCGGCAAATGAAATGCGTTATTCCTGTTATCATATATTGGGTCTTGCTTCGATGAACAAAGATCCGGTAATCAATCTTACTCTCTCTCTCTCTCTCTCTCTCTCTTTCTCTCTCTAAACATATTGGAGTTTAGCACAATCGCCTTGCCTCATCCTATTATATGTCTGTATGTCTATAAATACATTGCAATAGCTGAGTTTTTGCCTAAATTAATTTTCTCAGTGGGGTCTGTCAGTCTGATTTTGGAGAAGTTCCGACGCTCTGATAATTTTATTGACCCTGATCGACTTGTATGTACTAAGTATTTGACCTTAAAGTCATTGTATGGTATTTACTGGATTAAAATACTTTGACTGATTGGGTTAGTAGAATCCCGAGTCGTCAAAGTTTGTCCCTCAACGGGTTTGTAGTTTTGAATAGCGCCTTGGTTCCTGCCTTTTTGATAACTATATGTAGGGTTTCTGATATGCCCTCTTTCTTTATATGGCAACATAACATAATCCTTGAATTCCTCTCTCTTAGTGCTGTCGTTACTATTTATAATGCTATTACTAGTTATGCTCTCATGTTCTTACGAATTTCTTAGCAAAACTTAGAGGATAATCGTTGACTGCTAGTATTTCGTTTATATGTTTCAATTATTTATTTAGGTCGTTGTGAGTTTTCTAACCCTACAGGATAATTAACTAAAATTTCTTTAATTACTTCTGGATTTGGTGACCTGAAGTCTAACCACTTGTCAGAGCGTGTTGATTTCTGCAAACAGTAGTATCTAAACCATATCTTCGTTTTACTTTGCAATCCAATACAGTCAGTTCTCCTTCTTCATTTTCTAACTCGTGTGTGAGCTGGATTTCACGTACTCCTAATTTTATATTCATGAAGAGACTATCAGCACACCTAGTTTCAACAGTGTTAATGTGTCATTCACATATCTCTAGCATACCTTAGGATTAGGATTAAATTTTCGTAGGGCCACATGTTTCCAACTTCCGTAAATGTACCTGCTACAATTAGAGAGAATAATGATCCCATCGCTACTTCTTCTGTTGGTCTGTATATTTTGTGTTACAAACTGAAGACGGCTGAGGTCCGAAAATAGCTGCATACGTAACATGCTTCCACCAACCGTTACCTTAGTTGTATCAATATCCAACTGATTTCTGGATGCCTTCAGTGCCATATTGATTGGTGTCTTGGTATGAAGGCTTGTTACACCGAAAGTATTTATTCTTGATCCTCTTCAAAACGCATGTCACTGGATCCTGGTCCCAATTAGTAGAAATTGATTAGTCTGTTTAAAATGTTTTCTTACAGGAAATAATATCAGTGCTAAATAATTACACAGTTCATTTGTTAAAGTATTCATTTCTGAAGTCAGTCATTAGTCTGATGGTAAGACTTGCCTTATGACCCACTGAAAACAACGAATACGCCATTATGGAACTATAAAAGTCTAATGTCGAAAAGTGAATGATTACTTTGACATGACTGTGAGTAATAATTTGTGTTGGGACCGAAAGGCAGTAAGTAATCCTATTTCACTGTGTGCTATTGCAAATAAATAAATCTAATATGGAACTGCTTCAAAACTGTTTGAAAAATGTCACCTGTGCTAACAGTCATTTTATAAACAGTTTATGGGGACTTACGCTGGTAGATTTTGTGTTTATGTAATAAAGTTAAATGTCTCTTGATCAAGAGAGAACCACCACCTAACAAACAACTTGACTACCTGAAGCTGAATAAACTTACCATCTCTCTTAGCTTCGATGGTTCAGTGGCACATAGTCTTGTGTTATCTAAATAAAAGCCAACAAACTGTGAATGCACTCATTTAGAAGATTTATAGTGTAGCCACAGTGTGCTTAGAAAATCAGACACCGTTTTTGGAACGGTCTGGTTAATTAAGACATAATCTATTCTCAAATGAATTTACCTAATAATTCTACTTATATGCAACTTCTACATACATCAAGGATTTTATTAGGAAATGTTTAAGCAGATTTGGTGGTCAACTCTGCTCAGTACTTTCGCAGTACCTATGAACTTGGTTTGTAAAGTAGTTACGAAGAGTGTTATTACGAAAACGCTAGGAATGGGTTAGGGAGTAATATTTGAATGATCATAGAAGACAATGGCTCTGATCCAGTAACTGTATTTTGAACTGGTCATCTATTGTTCCATGATTTTTTCCAAGGAAATGTTTTTCAATAATCCCAACCAAATTATTCATAATCATATGGGTAACAGCATATATTTATTTCTAATCAAGTTTATTCGTTGAAGTTGCAAAACCGAAATGAACTGGAAAATGAAAATCGAAAAATAAGATTAATGACTTCCACTTGCTTTTCTTTTAATTTAGTATATTAATCACTCAGTTTAAATGATTTGCCTTTTATAAGGGTAAACGTCAAGAAGAGAGACAGGGAGGAAGAGAGAATATCTCAAGGGGACTTTTTATGCCACACTGAATCGGTTTGAAACAAATCACTCACCCCCCCCTCTTAAAAGCTCGTTGCTAGTATACTGCATCGGAGAGTGGTTGAAATGCAACCATTCTATAATCTGCATCGCGTAATTCATCAACCAGGTCCGTGCATTACTCTGCAGATACAGTTCGGAATTTCACCAGTACTGGTTTTAGTATTTAATAGTATTGTGTTCTATGAGATGATTGGTTTTGTCCTGTTTGGTCGAGTATACCATTCATCTCAGAGAGCACAACACTACTATAATCATCTTCCTGAGGTACAGATACTCTTCATCATCTCAAGAGTTTTTAGTATTTTCTTCAAACATGGAGACCAAAGCTCCCAGAGATAGTCTGGATTTAACTAGTTATTTGAGACTAGGGAAGAGTGGCAACAGTAAAATGATCAATAACATGGGTGACCCAAGAAATATAGTTCCTCGGTTTGTTTGCTGACAGTGGTTGTAACCGCCACTATGGGTAGCCAAGAATGGCAATACTCACTAATGTAGTAAAAATGAGAAACCTCCATATCAGACTGCAAAAATATCGCTCATCTTTTTGTCTGATAGTCAGAAGAGTTATCGAAGAGGTTGGTGAAAGCAAGAAATGAATGCGATTTCGAGCTTCTTTCAAAGCATTACTTACCACATATTCTACTTGGAATATCTAGCAGAATATTATATATCTGAAATCAAAATATGTATTGGTATCGATTTCGGAATAAGCATATTAGGTGCATCATATACTTTTTTGTTAGCATAAAGTTATTCTAGCGCATTTTGAATTGTCAAAACAAAATTTGCTAAATGTCTGAAAATATTTTACCCAAGTAATCAAAGTAGGAAGCTATTTGCTTCTACTAGTCAATACACTAATACGTCAAGATCTACATTGAACTCATAAGGATTTTTGCATACTATTAGTGATTCGTTTTTGCATTCACTTTAATGTATCTTTCCTTATATTCATGACAAGCAGCTGAATGAGTTAACCAAAAATGCAGTGCGAAAAATGAATACTGAAAAGCTTTATCACACAGTAACGTTTTATGAAAACGGCTTCATAACTCCGCTTAAGATCATACACAATAAAATAATGTTCCTGATGGTACATACTGGCATTCGACCAATGTGTTATACTTCTGTTATTCTTTCTACATATCGCGGCAACGTGGCTTGGGACCCGTTGTTTGATACTTGTAATTTCCAGTTGCTATACAAGGTCGATTCACTCGACTTGTGCTGGTAGATGGGCTCCTATACGGATGCCTGGATATTCACGATGTTAAATTCATCTTAGTGACCAGCAGTAGAATCCATGACACGCATTTCGTCCTACTTGGGGCCCGTCAGCTGGATGTACCTCAGGGAGAGACATTATTCCCACCGAGACTCGAGCTCAGTAACCATTGCTTCAAACACCCATACGCTATCCACTAGACCACTGGGGTACGAGAGTCACCTCGTATGCAGCGGATACTCGTAATTTCCTCACAGGAGTGCAAGTATATCCAGCTAACGAGTCCCACTTAATATGAAACACATCTTGGATTCCTCTGTTGGTCACCATTGTGAGCGCAACATGCTGGTGTGTAACTTCACGAACGTTTTAGGAATTCGGGCCTATATGTAACAGAAAATGAAATTAAATTGTACTATTTCTGTTTATGTAGTCTTGGCTTTGAAAGAAATTTTTGTACTATGCTTTGAATACTTTCTGTTAACCTTCTCTTACACTGCTTTGATATATAGGTATTTGTCGTTGAGAAATCAACAAGTCAGGAACCGTTCGAAAGCACTGGATTCCGTAGTAAAGTGAGTAATGCTTAATTTTTGTTTTTCAAATCGCCTCTTACAGATTCAAAGAGGAATAACTGTGTTGGTTAAAATGTTGTGTAGAGATCTATCTGATGAGTGGGAATTTTTGTTGTATGTCTATGGATGATCATCATTGTTGTACTGTTTCGGCCTGCTGTACTGAAATGCAACAGCAGTAGTGGGGAACAACAACTACACCACCACCAACAACACCAATACCTCTACCATCACCACCACTACTGCCAACAACAGCAACAACAACAACGATTTATATCTGTATATCTAAAATCATATACAAATTTGTAAGAAAATATTTTACCAGTGAATTGAATAACTTGTAAATCATCAGTTTTCTTTGTAAATGGATATCTAACATTTTATTTTTATTAACCTTGGGCTTTTTTTGTCTACTCAGTTTCTTATTTTAAGTTCGTCGTTTGTTTCTCATACTATTTAATCCTGATTTATAGAATTCACCAAACAAACTGGTCTATTATTTTGTGACCATTTTTATACCTAGGTAGAGGGTAAACGACATAGGGTTAAGCCATTAATATAATTCTAATTTACATTTGAACCATGAGGTATATATATATATATATATATATATATATATATATATATATATATATATATATATATATATATATATATATATATATTCAACTACAGTCATTGCTTTTTCTCTAGTTTAACGCCCACTTGTATTCTAATCAATTCACGTTTGATGATACCAACTTTTCAGCTACTGCTAAAAGGAAACCATTATTAGGCTTCAGTGCTTTTGTCACCCCCTCTTTTTCTGGGATCTTTATCCTGTGCTGAATTTTAAAGTAACCATTAAGTGAATCGCTGGAAGTTTAACCCTCTGCTGTGTAATTTATCATCATAACAAGTGTTTGTGACGTTTATCACAAGTACTTATGAAGAATGTAGAGACTGTTCATTTGCAACCAGTTAATTTCTTTTGCGTTGTTATAAAGCACAATAATTGGTTAAGGTGTGAGAAGCGTTTATCTAACAAAGACCTTCAAAGGTCGTAGTCTGCTGGTATTATGATTGCTTTAAAAGTGTGTCTTGTTCATGCGTTTGTTTGCTCAATATACATGTTATGAAATGGGCTGAAATTCCTTTATCCTAAGTTTTTGTGAAAAAGGCTTCCTTTGAAGTTATCTAGAAATTACTTTCGAAAAGAAGGTACTGTTGGATATCTCATTAAATGCTGTAGGTTATAAATTGGTTATGTTGGGTGTGGAATTTCAACTGAGCAATCCCGAAATCAGTATTTGTTTCCATTTACTCTTTCAACTTATCACCTTGATATGCTTCGCTATATTAATTTATTTAACATTATCTAGGCAACTTTATACAACTCAGTTTAGCAATAAGCTTCAATCCGCGGAAGTATCTCTTCGAAGACCGACTGGTTTTGAATTTTATCCCGTTAGCTGATGTTTACTGAAATACATTAGTTCGATGGCATGCATTAAAAGTTTAGTCTTTTGATCCAATGCTGTTGATAAGCACATCTTTGTCTATTATCACTTTAAATGTCACCATTAAACGGTGAAAATGGGACATAGTTCACTTAGATTTCCTCGTCCTGTCTAACTGTTGACTGTATACAGTATAATTTAGAAACTGAGCAACAATTCAGTTTTACAGCTATAAACTTAGACCCTTGTACTATCATGTCAGTGTTTCTTTACCTAACCAATTTTCACCAAGGCTTTCTTATCATAATAATATATGTCTTAAGAACAATGTGTTTGCAAAGAACTGAGCTAATCTGACTTAATATGCCTTCCAATATGAAGCAGGTGAATTATAAGCTTAATTCTTTGCTTTTAACTTTTTTACGACTACACTTCAAAATATCAGTGAAGTAAGGAGCTAAATATAAAATGAAGATGGCTGTAAGAGATAATGTAAACTGGTAATGGTATGAGGGACGACGACCACAGGTAAAAAAGTGATTCATATGTGGATGTAAACCACCAAAATTAAGCTCTCAGTTTAGACTTCCACAGGGCACATCTCCAGCGAAGAATTCTACCAGATTCTATCTTTACTTGGATAAATACTGTGTCAAGTGAAAAATTTTGAGTACTTTCAATAAATCACTGTCAAATCCTTTCAATCATATTCTAGTAGGCTAGAAGTAGATACAAATAAGAACTGTCTGACTGCTAATCGTCTGATTTCTGTTACCTTGTGGTGGCAAGCTGTAACTTTTTTAAAATATGATGGCTGAGTCTGAAAGAAAGTTTCTATCTACTCTACAGTTCAATAGATTGTATACATGGCTAAGAATTGAGTTTCATAAGTCATCTGGAAGGATAGGGTTTGCTCCTTCAAAGTTGGTTAAAATCAAGGGTTGTCGTCATGATTTAGTTAGTGTTTTGGCCATCATCACCGTCGTCACCACCACCGTCCTACTACAAATACACACTGCTGGCTTCTAGCATGTTGCAGCGCAAGTTAAATGTAGCACTCTAGATTTAAAAATATTGCAATAAGTGAAGAAACTAAGTGAAATTCAGCCCAAAATTACTCAATACATAAACTGTTCGAACAGATTAATGACGTCTAACACCAGTCACGCTAGGTAGAGCTTATATGGCAACATACTGCGTACCGACGGTGCAGATGTATTGTTCAACTTCTACAGCCCAATTACTAGACTGCAATTCTGCAGAAATAAATTATTCCTATTTAATAATAATGATATCTACTGATACGATTGTATGGCTAAGCTGACTGAACAATTGATCGGCTTAATTATATAAACCTTTCGTAAATTAATGAACAGATTACGCTAATTATATTTTGTATACTGTCAGCTTGTTTACAACTCAGTTCAGGACAAATAATAAAAAATCCGATCGATTTCCTAATTTATAAAATATCAGTCAATTGCAGAACGGTTATTTTTTGCATTTCTTGAGGGGTATGGAAGCTAAGACATCTTCAGCATCCTCACTTCTTTTACTGACTAAATACTGATTGACTTTAGTTCCTAGTACTTTCTTATTCATGCATTCTATCACCATTCGATATGCATTAAAGAGAATTTTTTTACAATTATTATGAAGTTGCACTGACGGTAAGCTCTGGTTGTATATTCAGTGTTCACAAAAGCATAAGTTCAGAGGACAGTTGGACCTACACCCCCCTCTCACTTCGTACTTTTGATAATCAGTAATTTCTGCGTCATCAGACTTAGCTGTCAGTAAATTCATTCTAGCAATATGCTTAGATCACTGAAAATCGAAATTAGCGTAGTCAAAAAAACAACAAGGAACCGGAGCAAAATCAAGGTCATGCCCTGGATAAACAACAAAGAATATTGTCCCCATTTTTCTCAAAACTAACATTAGGGGAAATAAGCTACATCAAAATAATCGATTGACAAGCAGAAGTATATGTGTTTTATTAAACAGTAAGCTCCGCTTCTTTAGATTACTTTATGAACACCGTTAAACAAGTACATTCTGTCAAGTTTTGCTAGCAGTTACTTGATTTTTGCACTTCACTTCCTCTGAAGTCCTATTTCTCTCGTCTGACTTAGTTTGCCCACGAGATCTTTACAAGGAGTATTAACTTCACCTATTGGGTTACTTGGAAGTTCTGACCTTTTTTAAGTGTTTCAGTACATGTTTTCCACTAAGATTCTATTGTTCTACTAAACTTATGTCTTCTTTGTGTATTGTTTGCAGTAGTTTGAACATACTCAGCTACCATCTAATATCTTAGTAAATAGTTTTGTTTCACAGGCCTTTTCCTGTTAGAATGGCTTATTTTCTTCAAGATTTGTGTGGACAAAGTCTTCGATTACTAGAAACCTGTACAGAATTTGTGCTGTAAGAATAACCTATAGTGAAAGAACTCATATAGTCTTCGGACAGTGTTTCAGTTAAACTCTTTGTTAAGAATACTGTGTGAAGCAGTGTTTGTTTAGAGTATTCTTTCTTTTTTAGACTTTCTGTAGAGGATTCGTACACTACATAAACATTTCTAAAAATATATCTAAGTGTCTTTATGTAAAAGTAGAAGCTCTCAGTTAAGATATTGTTTAGTAATTAGGTGAATGAATATTTTTCCAGTCCTTAGAATAATTAGACAATACTGGTTATTGCCTAAGATTGATTTCCCTCCATTGACTACTTTAACGACTCAAATGGTCAACTCATGGCACTTTTGAGTTCAAGGATAGCCAACAGGATTTTGAACAGTGCTTACACTTGTAAGTATGCATAATGATCGAGTATGGAATTCTATTCAAAACCAACTAGTGACGTCCCCCGTTTAGAGAAACTTATCCTTTTGATCATTACTTTTTATTAATTAGTAAAACATTCCGTGAAACCTAGACCTAATTCAATCGAAGTATGCTCAGTCTTCCTTCTGTCTAATCTGAAATGACTAGCACTATAAGATGGTGAGGTGTTATCTGAAAATTATGGATCAGTGGGTGTACGTTGGTAGTCAGTTTCACACTCACTATCGTATTTCAAGTAACTTGATCACTTAACTTCAGCTTAGATGCTTCTAACCTAGTTATTCCGATACATGTGAGTGAGATAATACCAAATACGTCAGACGGCGTCACGCATAACTCTTTCATTGTAAATAGCTGTCTATATGATTTACCACATGTGAACTAACCTGAGTAACTTATTAAAATAAAACACACTACTGAGTTACTAATTAGTTTAAACCCGTTTACCATATAGTCAGCTTTTATATTCTCAGTTATTGAAAATAAAAAGAGGTGGGCTTTAACTAAAAAGGAATTTCCTTTTATCTTCCTTCCCATGATAAACCTTTTATCTTCACCGTACCATAATAAACGCTGTAATGTTTGTTAGCCATGCAGCCAATCTTTATCGAAATCTTTATCTTGGTTTCATTTGTCTGCATTGGTATCTTCTGTTATGTAGTTGATTGAATTTTTCTCTGTGAATGCTGAACCAGTAACGTTTAGATATCTGAAAGGTTTTTGTATGATACTGCATGTAGGCATTTGTGTATGTATGCATGTGGTCAGGTGAAGGATTCAAGTTACATAATGAACACTTGACATGATGCATTTCCCTATTCTTGGTTTTGACTAGATTGCTTCGGTTTGTTCAGGATCATTGGTATTATCCCCTTCTTATCTTTGTAGTTTCAGGATGTCAGGCTATACAGTTTACACATGCTTCAATTTTACCATTTTATTGACTATAGTAAACTCCACTATAAGCTGAAAAATCATCAATATGGTATGCTATAATCCAGTTATCATCATTACTGATGTGAATTATTCTGTGGCTAGGGGTAAAGGGTGTCTTGATATGCTTTTTGAATGTGACAAAATGATAAGCCTGAAATTTTAGCTTTTCAGAACCATGATTTTTTTGAATGGTTTAGCCAACTATTATTTACCCTCAACTTATTTCGTAGATGAATAATATATCTGTGGTCGAAAATACTCATACTAATTCTGCACCATATTGAGAATGAAACTATATAGTGCTTGGTATTCGGTAACAATGAAATGAAGGACAGATGGTTCATTTTGTTTGACCCGGTGTCATCTTTAGTGACAACCTTGTATTAAAAAAAAAAACTAAGTAGAGGACAAAAAGAAGAAAATCGAAACATCGCTCACCATTCAGCGAACCCAATTTATTCTCAAACAACTAGTTCTGTGTGGAGTTGCGGCTCATTGGTTTAGGGAGTTGGGTTTAAACCAATGGGTCATGTTTCCGAACTCCGTTCTAATTACCGAGGTTTGGGCGGCTAGATAGCATTATCAACCTTCACACAATAGGTGTACGTCATTGCCCACTGCATGAATAAGCACAAGGTTGCTGAGTGGCTATTGACTTAGCTATATGGATTCTTCTGAGTTGACTAGGTAGATTAGGTTACTTCTGTTCTTCTGACTTATTAATTGTCTGTAAGATGCCTAGAATATAATGACTGGAAAACTTGAGAAACACTGAAAAGTCTATTTTTCTAAGTCATAAAGTTTTATGTATTTTTTACTGAACAATTAATTTACTGATTAAAAGCTACTATGACTATTAAAGTTGAATTATTAATTAATGTTAATGTCAGCTGCAGCTAAATGTTTTAAAAAGTTGAAATGAAGTAATTAATGCTTAGTTCACCTTGTTATTAGGTCAGTGTAGTGTAATCACTCATATGATTGATCATTCAGTAATTTATGTCAACTTGTGTAGACCGTTAATCACTAGTGATAGTTTATTGTTTATCGCTTTTGTTTTTTTATTCGTTTCCTTCTAAAGGTATTTCTACTACGGAAATATGCCAGCAATGAACTTTCAAAGACCTGTTATATATGCAGTCTATCCTCTGAAACGGTTGTTTACAAAGTGAGTTAACAGATAAAAGTATGTGTTTTGGTTTCATACCTAAAAGATTGGTGTTAGTAAACAATAACTTCATGCTACCATGCGACTGCCTATTGGTAGGCATTCACTGCCTATTTTGAGGGTTATACCGAGATCCTCAGAATCTGTAGTAAGCCCACTAGCCTTTAAAATAATGAACCGAATTCTGATGAATGATTTTCTTGATCTCAGTCACTGTGTATCGAACTGCTCTCAGGTTGTAGATCATCCACAAACTCAATGAATTCCCCAATAATTTAAATGGAAACAAAATATTTTTCAAGTAGCTGTAATACCGGTGGGAGTAGAAATAAATGTATGTGACAGCTTTATTTATTAACCGGACTTCATCATGTGCTACCAACTTGTTGTTGGACAGTTGTTAAACCTTAAGATCACTCTCACTAAACCATGAGATATTTCCTAGGAAAGGACTTTGAACTAGTCACTGGTTTTAAGTCACTGGCAAGTTCTGACTAATAAACCTTTGGTAAAGAACCATTATTTTGTTGTTAATAAGGCAGCTATATGGAGGTCTTGGAGAATCCTTTGTAGTGCAAAGGTTACAGAAAATATTTCATTTGTGAACGTATGTCCTGCTAAATGAGTTTCATGTACTGGACACTGGGCAAAATGCAGGTGTCATTAAAGTGGTATACAAGTACGACTAACTTTTATCATTCGTTTTATTATAGTATCATTAGGTAGGCTGATATACTGAAGTTTTCCCAAATACATTGAATTCTGAAATCACTGAGTTCGCAATTTACAAAGTATCCAGTTCACCACAAAGTAATCTATACATTTTTTGACGTATACCGAGGGAAGTATAAACACTCAATATACAATCCCTTTGGAGCTGATATATCCAAAATCGTGTCACGAGAACACCATAAAAGTATTTGATACACTAGGTACCCCGGTCAAGGAAATTACATCTCATGACAATACATATATCATGTAACGTTTTCCAATAACCCCATACATCAATTTCCTGAATGAACAAAACTACTGGCTCAACGTTCCAACTTAGGATTGACACCGCCAAGTCAGAGTACATGCAGTCAAGCACCAACCCTGGTGCATTTGGGGGGGGGGAGACGGGATGGCGGCAAGCTGTGAATGGCAAGCCAAACTGGATCATCTAAACAGTGTAGAAATAGAAAGGAAATATACTTAGCACATTATTTTGGAATAATACTAGAGACTACTCTAGTAACTACTGAAATATTCAATTACGGTTAGCCATTCATAAAAAAAAAATACCTTCCCAGCCAGAATAAAAGCACCCAATTAGTTATTTCAGTGGTTTCTAGAGTGGTCTATAGCGTCATTCTTATTTTGTAGACTATCTTGCGATAAAATCTTAGTAAGACAAGCAGTAGAGTGCTAAAACTACAAGCAACATAGAGAACAAACTTTCGCTTTTGGATGACCCCATTGTAACACTCATTCAACTTCAACTGACTAATCAGATGCTTTTTTCTGTATCACTTGATGTGTAGTAGACAGTATGCAAACTTGCTTTTGCTCATTGCGTATTTTTGTTTAACTTTAAGGAATTGTTTTTGAACAATCTTCAAAGTTCTACTTCGAGAGCATAGCACTGCGTGCAGAGGCTAATGATTAAATTCTACGAATGAAACCATTCGTAAGTGAAAGTGGTTCTGTAAATATTTCTTAAGAGACTAACAAGCAAACCTCTGTCTTCGAAAATGAATAATAAGTGTCAGTCGCATGAGTTAATTACTAGATAATGAATAATATGATATATTCTTCAAAATTAGCCAAGACTTGCCAGTTGAAAGCTGTTGTAGAAAAAGCCAAATGTGTTCACTTACCAACCCCAGCTATAAGGAGCTGGTTTTTAGGGCTTATTCCAAGCTAATACCTAGGATCTTTGCCCGGTGGTGGTTATTGTAAGGTAAATCACTTGCGTAAGCTACCTAGCAATACAGAATAGACGACCACTACCTAGACAGAGGGAAAGCATTATTCTCTGTTACGAAACAAAACACAGCTACGTTATTAATGAATTTCGCAAACATGAAATATACTTTTGTAGATTCCTACAGGTCACTCATAGTTATCACTTATAAACAACACAGATCTGTATAGTATGACCCGTATCATAAACTTATAACATCCTTTTTCCAACGGTTATATCACTGTAGCACTAGATGGAAAAGTGCATGCTTTCCAGGCTAAATATCGAAAGTGAAGTTATGCTGAAGAAGATAAAAAGCATGCTGCTGAAGCAGATTTCAGCAAATATGAACTCCAGAAACGGAGAACTTACTAAGTGATCTGTGTTACTGGCTGATATTTTTCGCCTTATCACTTCAGGTAGACGCATATTTTTCACAATTTTTTTATTGTGTACTTCTTTTTCATAGGGTCTGTTTACTACAAAGCAATTGTGGAATTATTATGCAGACCTATGCAATCCAAATTTTCTGACACATTTTGCAATCGTTCACAATCGTTTTTCCACAAACACTTTTCCATCATGGAGTCGTGCTCATCCACAACGCATGATGGCGCATAATGGTGAAATCAATACATTACGTGTAAGTTCACCGTCGTTTATTTTGTGTCATACAAAAGGATGACCATTTTGTATGCTAAATTGTTAACAGTATTATATCATTCACCTTGTTCGTTCAGTGTTTTGAAAACATCAAGATATTCTCATCAACATTTTCAACTCATTGAATATGTAAACCATATATGTTGTTTAAGGCTTAAGTGTACTCTCCGCTAAATCAAAACAAAAAGGATAATTTTATATTTGTAAATAAACGTTCTCTTGTCATCAGTTGACAGTAGTATTAGAAGTGTATAAGTCATATACCTCCTAGAAACGAATGAACGGTCAACAACTACTCGTAACTTGTCCAGGTCTATCAACACTTTCATCATTTAAGCATTTTTACTCTGTCCAGCTGTGATATTGAAGAAACGTTTCATCCTAACTTGAGCACAGAATGGGATACGTCTGACTTGGAATTGTTTAAGTAAACAGTAAAGGGTCCCACTCAATAACTTAGGAGGTTAGATACCACCACATTCAATCAGTTGGCTTCATTATACTGGGAGGAAACTGACATTAAGGTGATGAGCAACTGACCACCTGTAAAATGTGTGGACTCAGACTCCACAATATATGAATGAATGGTGAATGGTGCCAAAGGGCTTCTAAGGTTGAGTGACAAGATTCAAATAGGTATCCAAAAGGAATTCATCTTATCTTGACTCATCATACCTTAATTACCCTCTCAGTAATACCAGAAAAAGTATACTATCTGGTTGTGAAATACCAGTGAAGGCGACAAGTAAAAAGCTACTCAGAGCTCAGTAAACTGTTTAAAATTTGCATAGTGGGTGGAACACATGATCGTTCCAAAGAAATCTGATTACTACTTCATTCAGTACAGGGTAACTCTACTCTCCACATAGTCTGACTTCCCATAACTTCATCGCTATTATGAGTACGGAAATTGGATGTTAAGGACTTTAGTTTACAGACCAGATGTTTGTGTACTTTAAAGTTTTGTAAAATTTTACAAGGGTCATTTAAGTGCAAACTGTTTTCTGTCATTTTAGTTAGATGAATACTTTTTTCTGATGAAAATCTTTCTCATCAATGAGAACATGAAAATTAAGTTATATTTTGGCTAAGTTCTCTATTGATACCAGTAACAAGTTCTCCAGTACTTACCTTCAAGTGACTTCAAAGGCCCCTTTGGCAACAACTAAAATAGCCCGTCAGGATTCTTGATTTTGGTTGAAGAGGTGGTTTTTGTAAAATACAGTAACCCAAATTGGTCACTTTAGTAGTTATAAGGGTAACCTTTAAAGTTCTTCGTTGCTTTGATGAGTAGGTAGGCCTAAATTATTAGTCTGAGTTTACTCCGCTTATTATCTGTCCAGTGCGTACTGTCAGCTCACTATGCAATACAGATTTTTTAAGAATTCTCATTACGTGAGTCTCAATCATGAAGTCACTGATATCAGGAGCGGGTAGAACAAACAAATAGGAAAGAGAAGCGAGTCAGTTAGCAACTTTGGATAAGAAGCTTTTTAAGGATAACGATAAGCACCTGATGTAACGGCTACTGTGTATACGGTTTCAAGCTTCTACAGTCTTTCATCTTCTGTATGAAAACGGATAGCTCACTAATGCTTGGATAAATTCAGCAATTACTTTACTTGGACAGTATTGCTATCAGGCAGACAAAAATTATCTTACATGGGACCTGGGATTGTGTAGTGTATTTTAGATGCGACACCTCGTTAATCATATGGAGGTAGAAGAAAGCTAAAGAGAAGATGAAGAAGTCATGCAGAATGCCATAAGATGAAAAGAACATGGGTTGGAGTAAATAACGAAATGTGGTACAACAGTTAAGACGAAACTTTTTTCACCACTAAGATTGATTTTGAACCATATCACCTACGGTCGTCAGTTCCGTTTGTCCCACCAACTCAAAGCATTAGTTTAGGTGAGAAGTAGTAATTTCAAAATTCTTCAAATACAACCTTTCACGTCATTCTATTAGGATTTGACCAAAATTTTTTTCTGTAGTTGGGACCATTTTTACTGGAAGGAAGATGACCTCCTGCAAGACCAATGCATCTAGCTTTTGGCCTACTTAATACAATAAGATTAATAATGTATTCTAGATATATTTATTAATCAGTCAGTAGGCAAAGATGCATCCAGTATGAAGTACCTGCTCATAAGATTACTTTAAGAAAATGCATTAATGACACAGCCAGATAAAAACAAAGAGATTGGTTAACCTTATCTGTTGCAATGATTTTGCCAAAAAATCATTTATAGTAGGCATATACGCCTTCCCTAAGATTCAGGAAAAACGAGCAAACAGTAATGATAAAAGATTCATCTTAGGCAGATTTAATGACAGTAGTATAGCTACAGTTTGTTTTAGTTGTTGAGGTTTAGGGTTGGTTTAAAATCAATGAGTGAGATATGCTTGCATACAATAGGTCACCAGAGAGTTGAGACAAAATGAATGTACCACTTTGAAACTTATGTTTTTCTTGACTTCATCAAGTATCCTACTCTTTACAAGTGGTGCCTTACGGTTAGATTGTGCGAGAATATTTTTATTATCATAAACTGATTTGAGCTGATCAGTCAGTGGATACTGGATCTGGGAAATTTAATAGCATACACTGGAGGCTGATCACTATTAGAATAATAACATACGTTTCATCGATAAGTCATTCTAAGGATGAAAGTATCGAACATTTAAGTGAAATTTAGTGACCTAACGGTCATATTCTTAAAGAATGAAAACATAACGTTCTATTTGAGCAGTTCTACTAATCTTAACCTCTTGGGACACTAGGTCATCATGTCCAACATTAGGAATATCGTTTAGCTGGCATCCGTCCACGATAGAAATCATTTTAACTTAAGTATAGTTTGTTACTAACCTAGAAACCTAATATGTCCTTAAATATCTTTAAAATTCTAAAACAAACAACAAAACTGACAATCTTATCTGGATAATGTAATTAGAAGACGTAGATTATCTAAAAAATGTGATGTATTAGCGTAAATGTGTGATCAGATTGTTCGAAATGTATAGCGCTAATACATCACATCAGATAATCTACGTCTTCTAATTACATTATCCAAATTCATAAAACGGACTAATTGTTTCAAAGACAATGTTATCATCACAAAATATTCCTAATTAAATTTGCAAAGGATGACCTTATTTTTCGATTATTAGAAAGTGTCTTTTATTTCATGTAATGCTCATATGACCTTTTTCAATTGTTTATTTATTAATTGTCAAAACTTATCCAGATTATTAAATCATCATAAGACTGATAATGATTAGCTAAATTTGGAACGCTTTTGAGGAAGAGGTGGGACACTCCTCATCGCTTCATCTGCACATGTTCACCTCTCGTTAATGCTTTTTTACCGGTTTTTGGCATATTGCTATGTCAGCTTCATGTGAACTGTAGATTAATTGAAACTGCGTTCATTTCACACACTGTTAGGACAAAATAGTAAACGCTAATGTCTGCCACGCTACATATAGCTAACATGGGAACATAACGGATGCCCACAGCGCTTAGAGACGAGAAATTAAACATTTTCTCAGGCAATTGTAGGGCTCCTTTGAGAAAAAGCATTATTTTAGTCACTGGAAAGATACCGGATGAAGGTATTTACATGACACTAACTAGTTATGGCAAAGCAGGAGTGTGAACCATTACAGTAACAAACAGATTTTCTTCTCATCCAAATAACCTGTATAGTTATTGATTGTGGGTGCTAATAACTTTTCTTAATCTTCTCCATCCGATACAATATTCACTGTTTGTTTGTTTTGTTTTATAGTCAGTCGAGTGGCAGAAGGCAATAGACAGAACTACTCTTTTTATGCAGTGCAAACTAAAATCAGCTCTCTGTCGAAATCACTTTCCAACTAACCGAATCCCATTTGTTTCAAACTTAATGAAGAGAATCACCTAGAAATAGGGCAAAGTTCTGTAATCGAATGTTTTGGTGGCTAAGAGTAGTCAGTATAAACTCCGTGTATCAAGTTATGTTAGTTTGAAGAAAGCCATTTTCTTATCACAAAGCATAATCACTAGTTGACTAGATTTCTAATTCTTACCCTAAGGCCATCAAAACCTCACTATGCAGTAATGATAAGGATGCCTGTAAACACAAAACAAAACGACGCCATGAAATTAACTTGCATCAAACGTGCTTTCATCCTTTGCCAATATAGATAACGTCTACATTAATGAACCTATTAATACAGTTTACATTAACACATGGGTTATAATTATTATCGGGGATTTGTTTTCATAACTTTCAGCTCTTTTAGTAAATTTCCATGAAATAGTTTTGATATAGCTATTGATCTCACTAAATATTACAATACATGCTTCAGTATCATCTGCAAAATAATTTGAAATTGGATTTAGTAATGTTTAGTAACTTCAGGAAACCTGTTCTTCACTTGTGGTTTGAACCTGAGCATAGCGATACTCAAATCCTCAAGTATAGTGCTGAATGGCAAACTTTTTAAATTGATTGCCTAAAATTCTTCAGTAGTAAAGATGTTTATTGTCACGAAGTAATCAAAAAGATGGATTTAATTTAAAGGTGTTGGAGAAACAAATATCCATCGAAGATAAACAGTGTACCATTAAAAAAACAGACATTCAATTGGGCAGTCATAATTTTATCAGGAAGCGTTCCAAAGCAAAAGGGAAAAACTTAATAAGTGATTTTCAATTCATGTTTAAAAATATTTCGAAGTTGAAACTTGGCTGAACCAAAACCAGCTAGTGATCGCCAGTATGACCTTTTAAAATGCAGTTTTTAACAGAAAAACAAACAAACCGGCCTAGCAATTTGCAGCTTTATGACTATTTGGATAATTCCCCTCAAAGTTTAACGAAGTTAACCATATTCCTCTTATCTTCACTGTTTTAAAATATGATCAAATTGAATCTTATTGGAAAATCCTCACCTTCCGACTGCATCTTTTTTCAACGGTAACGTGTT